TACATTTTTCTTTTCCCTTGCTATTGTAGTTTTGCAATGCTTTCCCCCTAGGACAACTTTCCCTATTTCAGCTTTTTGTGTTCTCTGAGAAATGTACTCATAGAACATGCGTGAATGCACTTGTTGCTAAAATGTTGTCCATGGCATATGGAGTTCTCCACAGGAAGAGACCCCACTGCATCTCTCTGTAGCTTCTAAATTGCCCCTTTGTTTGCTTGACAAAGATTCTCATAAACAGGCCTTGGAGAATATGTGACTTCGTGTACTTTCCTGAAGTGATACATGGACATTTTAACTTTGCTTGGGACATGCTTTCAAAACAGGAAAGGAGGGAGAGAAAGAGGGGCGTTGTTATAGACTGCCTCCTGCGTAGGGAGAATGTGTTCCAATAGCACCTTAATAAAAGTCTCTTTGATAGCACTTATCACCTGGTGGAGTTCTTATCGATTTGAATGTGCTGCTCCCGCTACTAGGCTCCTTAAATATTAAGGAATACTCTCTTACTCATCCGTTTAATCTTTTAACTAAAAAATTTTAATCAACATTTTGATGAAGTGTTTGTTGAAATGAAATAAAATGCTAAAATACCCACTTTACTCACTGACTTTAGAAACTACATATTTCCATCACAAGTGTGTGTTTTTCAGGTGAGTTACGTGAGCATTTTCCCAAAGTGAAACTTAATGAATCCCAAAATGGATGTATAAGTGCTTCATTACCTAAAAGCAATGTTTCCAATTAGTTTCTGCTTCTGGGTTTTATTTTCCCAATGTGATTTAGTTAATGTCTTAGCTAAAGGGAAAGTGTGCCACTGATTAAATTAATGTCTTAGCATAAGATAAAGAGAACCACTATTAGCATAAATCCTTGCTAGATAGCATTCTGACCCAAACCACTGCTGATTAGCTAACCAACTACAAATGTGCTTGTCAGGCTGCAGGATCTGATGTTCTTAGCGCTTTCATTTCTTCATCTTCTTTTCTTTTTCCTATAATATGGCACTTACGTTTTAAAAAAGAGTCTCTTTTGAAAGACATATTTTCCTTTTAGAAAAGGAAGGTTTTTCTATATTAAGAATATTGTGGTAGTTACATAATCTGGTGTCAATGTGGGACTTGAGAGGATTAAGAGTGAAGGAGTGGAGTCTGTCTTGAGTTGGATCATAGCCAATGAGGCCTCTGTGTGGGCATGGCCTCCTCCTGAGAATTCTGGGAAGTCCTGAACTTCTTCCTTGGAGGCAAGAGGTACTTTCTCTCTTCGCTCACTCCCTTGGAGATGCTCTACTGACAGGACAAATGGCGTTGTGCCCTGGGAGCTTAAGAAGCCACCTAGACCTACTTTTATGCAACCAGACCTCTGGAACTTGAGAAGCCACGTGGAGACCCCTGCCAGCACTGAGACGCTCACAATGCCACTGGATCCAAAGACTTCCGACCCACTGGCCTGTGATCGTCCCACATTTGGTGTCACTGCATGAGCTTCATGAGTCTGAAGAGGACTATATAGATTGGTATCAGACATATGGGCTAATATTGGACTTATGGGCTTGGACTGGATTGGGTTGGGATGTTTTCTTAATGTACAGTTATCCTTTATATAAAACTCTCTCTTATACGCATATGAGCTTCTATGGATTTGTTTCTCTAGTCTACCCAGACTGACGGAAATATATATAATTACTCACTACCTTCAAGTCAATTCGGGCTCATATCTACTCTACAGGACAGAGTAGAACTACCCCTGTGAGTTTCCAAGATTGTAACTCTTTACAAGAATAGAAAGTCTCACCTTTCTCCCCAAAATATACATTTATAATTGTATATATATATGTATATATATATGTATATATACTTCATATAATTTTGATGAATAATAATATTGTAGAATTTGGACCTGGGACAGGCAAGGACTTGAGAAACCAAGCAGCAGTAGAAGGAGTGAAGAAACCCTCGCTTTATTAAGCGGGCTGAACTTAAATGAAGTTACGATAAGCAGGCTGTGGTAGTTACATAATTCCATGTCAACTTCAAGCTATAAAAAAGTGAAGAGGTGGTATTCAACCTGTCAATCAGGTCACTGCCTGATGGTTTCTCCTTGTGGGCATGGCCTCTTCATAAGGAGGGCCCTGGAAACCTTCCCTGTTCTCTCTGCCTTAACCTTCTGCCTGGTGAGCCATTCTGAGACCTCATGCTTCCACTGCCTCTGGATCCACAGGACTTTGCACCCACCGGCCTGTGATGTTTCTGTATTCTGAATCGTTGCATGTGGCTGTGTGAGTCTGAAGAGGGACTTACGGGTTACTATCAGACTTATGGACTTGATATGAACTGGAATGGAATGTTTGCTTGGTATATAATTACTTCTTGATATAAAGCTCTTTCTTACACATATATGAGTGTCACTGGATTTGTTTCTCTAGTCAACGCGGCCTAACAAATAAGCCTTTTTTACTTTTCTACTTCCAGCTTGTATGGGGAGGGGCTTTTTGAGGGGAATTGACAAAAACAGAAGTTTGATCAGAGCAAGTAAACAATGTTCACTCAGTGGATTCTCCAGGGTTGGGGAACCACCTGCAGTTGTTTGTAGCTCTGAGGTTACTCTGGTTAAGTTTCATGATTTTTCCACTTCAATAAGATTCAATGTCCATATTCATCAATTAAAATTACTATAACCCCTAACAGAATTAAAAGAAGAAATAATAGTAATAAAAACCTTACACAAATTCTTTCTCAGAGTAAAGCATACGAGAACATTTGCCAACTTGTTTCATGAGTTCAGAGAAATGGTGCACTGGATACGACTTACAAAGGCTCATAAGAGCCAAGTGTGAATGTCTCTTCCAATTCTGCTTCCAATGACTGCACATTGGGAGATTTGAAAGCAGCCAATGTGGGAATGTGTGCACGAGCATAATGATCAATTGCTGCAAACTGGCATTTTTAATTCACTTGGGAGTAAATGGTTTAACACTTACCAGCAATGCACAGCATCTGATAAGTTTTTTTAATATGGAATGCTTCATGAATTTGCGTGTTATCCTTGCACATGGGCCATACTAATCTTCTCTGTATCGTTCCAATTTTTTTTAGTATAAGTTTTGATTTCATAATTTGACAAGAGAAAATTACTGGCAAAAAATAACTCATGAACTTAGATGTAGAAATCTTTAACAAAATATAAACTCAAGTAACTTTAGCCAAAACTCCTCCCCACAATAAAAACCCCATAAAATTAATGCATCAAAATAAAGTAGTTGTGCGAATAAAATAGATAATTTAGTAATGGAAGGCTGGTTACATATACAAAAACAGATCAAACTAATTCAACAGTTTATGAGAATAAAGGAGAAAAAGTGATCTTATCAACAAATGCAGAAAAACAATATCATTAATTATAATAAGGTAAAAATAGTACTTATTCAGGAAGTTAATTTCAATACCTCAATCTGATGAAGATTATCTACAGAAAACTAAAATTAACACCATACATATTGATGAACGACCAACGTCTAATACCAATATTTCTTTTAATCCTTCCTTTGGAGCATCTGCCTAACATAAAGCCTTAAGAAAAAAAATTCATGAAGATTGGAAATGATTAAATATGACTATTTTCAACTGATATGAATGTGTGCCTAAAAATTCAAAAGAAACTACTAAAATTGGTTAATTTACCAAGGTCACAGTGTGCAAGTGAATATGCAAATAACTTTTTCATATAGTAGAGACAAACGATTGGAAAATATAATTTAAACCAAACCATGTGTAACACTATGACAATATCAATTATTAAGATTCAGATAACACATGGGATATATCCTAATGGATCTTTAAAATTTGTAGGTAAGCACAGAGTTCCACTCTGTATAAGAAAAGTAAATTAATTTGTTCCCATAAAGATTTATAGCCTTTAGGAGGCTCTGTGGCTCAATAGATAGCGCATTGGACTTCCAGTGAATAAGATTTATAGCCTTGGAAATCCTAGATAGGGTCATTATTAGTCAGAATGGAAAGGGTTTTGTTGTTGTTGTTTAGTGCAAGAAAAAGAAACCATGGTCACTATGAGATGCACCCTGGACTGCTAGCCCCAGTACTGGGAGAGAGGGCAGCCGCCTATGGGGAGGATGGAGCATCCTGCATGGTCCCTTTCTGAGCCTCTGATAGGTTTGCAACCTCTTCTCCTGTCTCCTCAATCCAAATGTTTTAATGGGTGCCACCATGCTCCCTGGTAAGCATTACTAATGAATCATTCCATTGCAATGGAACCCCCAACCACCAGACTCATCGGTCACCCAGGGATCCAAACAGTCCCCAGGTAGTTATTTGGAGTTGGCACATGACCTAGAGTCTGTTGGGGTGTTAGGTCCAGGGGTGAACCCTAGCAGGAAGACATATGCAGTCAAATAGAAGGACCCCATCATTGGTGTTGGTGGCCAGGGCCTCAGGGAGCCCATGTTTATTGGATGAGGTGCAAGCTGAATGCCCTCCTGGGACAGGTAGTCTTGCTGACACAGTTTCTGTAAAGGTAACAAAGGGAGAAGATGAAAAGCAAGTGTTGACGTGGTCATCTGTGAACTGCTGAATAAACAAATAACCGATTTTTAAAAAAAATCTACATACATCTCCAATTTTCCTGTAACCTGAGTTAGTTTAGAAGAGAGTTGGTGATGCAGACTCCAGGGACATCCACATGTCTGGACGAGCAGGAGAGCTGATGGAGATCTACCAGAAGCTAACAATACCTGAGAAGTACTGACTAAACCCAAGGGAATTGGTTGTCTAGAAAGCAACAGGAGATAAAAGTTCAAGAAGGAATGGTGAAATTTCTCAAGTTTAAAATGAGACTGGTAGAAATGACAGTGGACTTGGTAGAGGAGAGCACACGAGTCAGTAGAGAAAGAAAGCTGAGGAAACAAGAAGCTTAGATATAAATAAACCAAAATAAAAACAGAAGTAGATTTGGGATTGAGGAGAAGATGGGTAAAGACAAGTGAGTCCTGAGGATGATTAGATAGCAATAATAAAAACACCCTGGGCATTGGATCTCAAACTTGGCTGATCATGAGAAAAACCTAGGGAACTTTTAACAAGTCCATTGTCCAAGCTTGCATGTGTGAAACTATTCTCTGAGTTACAAGGGCATAAACAGCTCTAAAGCTCCCAAGGGAGTTCAATGCAAAGATAAGAATGGGAAGGACTGACTATTCTGCTGGGTGGGGGGTGGTTTATTTTGTTTCAATATACTGTTGTGGCTTACAATAACTTTGAAATCTTGTTAAATGGTAGCTTGTGGAACTCTATCCCCAGGTAAGTAGATATTGCTGATACCATAGATCCAAGTGGGGCCCATGAATTGCCCATTTTAGAAGACTCAAGATTGTGTTACCTCACTTGTCTGTCAACTTGTCATATTGGGGTGGTTTGCTTGTGGCTGTGATGATGGCGGCTATGAGCCCCAAGGTCATCCACAGTGAACAGGTTTCAGTAGAGCTTCCAGACTAAAAACAGACTCATGAAAATTGAATCGGCCATCCACTTCTGGGGGATTAGCCCGTGAAAAGGTTATAAATAACCATAGAATCTTGTTTGATGTTGTGCCAGAGGATGACATCTGCTGTGAGAATACAAATGTGACCAGAAGATAACAGTGGTAGACTGAGGAAAAGAAAGAGGGCAGACCATAATGTTTTGTAGTCCCTCCCACTATGAGTAGAAGGTTCTATGTGTGTAACAGAAAATTCTGCTACACGTAGCTGATAAGAGCTCTAGGATGAAGGAGGTTGTGCCACTTTTAATATGCAGTTGTTATGGTACGCCTGGGCATCAATAGCCACCCAGTTGTAGGAAGAATAGTATGGAAAATTCTGAATGGGAATTTTTTTATAAGTTGGGACTGAAAGAGGTGCATAGCATTTCCGTTCCCATGTTCAGGGAACTCAATCATGAGAAATTAAAACAAGTTTTCTATCCAGGAAGAAGAGGAAATATGGGTGCTAAACAGCGAGCACTCTCTGTTAACTCATTCACTGTTTTAGTCTGTGGGCAAAATCCACTACCACCTACCCTTGTTATCAATGAGCACAGGTTCAGGAATAAACCAAGATAGCTGCTTTGAACATAACCAATAGCCTACTGAATCCTGACTAATTCTTCAGCGCATCTTCTGACTGTTCCGTTTCTGCCCATTCCAACCTTGGAGTTCCTTGAAAGCACAGAAATCTTCCTTGAAACTTGGTGTGACTTGTTAATCATTTATCCTCACGGAGAACAGATTTGCTGCATGTTTACAGGTTTCAGAAAAATTTTCAAATTTCTGTATTTAATAGTAGCACTCTTTTGTTTCACCCTGATAGTATGCATATTTTATAAATTCTGTTATTCCTAATATCATAAAGTAGCTGTTTTGTCCCTAGTTAATCCCACATGTATTTATCAGCCAGGTTGGCACAATAAACTAACTACCTCACTCACCAAAGCATTATCTCTGCAGAGGAGGACTTTAGCAATAAAGTTAATAGGATGACATCTTCTGTAGCTATAAGTCATCCACTTTCCCAACCACTCCTGTCCTTGCCCAGTGGGTGGATGAATGAAGCGGGCAAGATGACAGGGATGGAGAAATAGATAGACTCAGCAGCATTGTCTTCCATTCACTAGGGCTGATTTGGCCTCTGCCATTGATGAGTTCCCAATATATGGGCACTGAGTCCAAGATATAGGACTATTCCTCAGGGAACTCAACCAGTAACCTGATGGCAGGTGTATTACACAGGACTACTTCCTTCATGGAAAGTGCAATATTTTGCTCTTACTGGAATAGACGCTCTGCATATGGATTTACTTTCCTAGCATGTAATGCTTTTGCTCAAACTATCCTTCACAGACTTACAGAATGTCTCATTCACTGGCATTGTATCCCACACAACATCACTTCAGAACAAGGAATTCACTTCACAGCAAATGAAGTGCAGCAATAGACCCATGATCATGGAATACACTAGTCTTTCCATGTTCCTCATAATGCTGAAGCAGATGATGGAATGGACTTAAAGAAACAATTACAGTGCAAGCTAACTGGTAACACCTGGCAGGTTCGGGGCAATAGTCTCCAGGAGGCTGTATATGCTCTAAACCAGCTTCCAATATATGGTCTAGGAACCACAGGGTGGAAATCGGAGTGGCAGCACTTGCTATTACTCCTAATGACTCACTCACTACGCTTTTCCTTCCTGTCCTTGGATTACACAGGACTACTTCCTCTATGCTCTTGGAGTCTTGAAGTCTTAGTTCCAAAGGAAAGAACACTACCATCTGGAGACACAGCACTGATTCCACTAAACCTGGAAGTTAAGATTGCCTCCTGACCATCTTGAACTCCTCAGGCCTCCGGATCAACAGGCAAAGAAGGGTGTGACTGGATTGAGTAGTGCAATTTATCCTGGGGAAATGATTAGGATTCCATAACAAAGGTAAAGAAAACTATGTTTGGAGTCCAGGAGATTCCTTAGGTCATCTCCTGTTACTATTGTGCCATGGGATTAAAGTCAATGGTAAACTGCAAGACCTCATTCTGACATGACTGCCAATAGCCCAGACTGTAGGAATGAAGGTTTGGATCATTCAACCTCTTTGTCTCAAGACAAAGAACCACGACCAACCAAGGGACTTGCTGAAAGCAAAATACATCTGTACTGCATAGTATAAGAAGGTAGTTTTAAATACCAGCTGTGGCCATGTGACTAGCTGCAGAAACAAGGATTGTAATTGTTATGAGTAATCTATTTGTATGTATGTTTTAAATATTCTTGTTTTATTTACTTATAAAAGATGAGATAAAAATAGGGATTGTTTTAGTTAGCATATGTTCGGTTGTACGCATCATAGCTGTAGAATGTTAGGTGCAAGTATGATTTTATTATTATTTTGTTTGGAGACTATGTAAGATTAAAGAGTTGTATGAAGCTGTCAAGTTGAAAAAGGATTGTCTGTGATGGTTGGATTTTATGTCAACTTGGCTTGTCTGTATGAAGAGGAGTGGAGCTCCACCTATAAATTAGGTCACAGCCTGATGACACATATTTGTGGGTGTGGCCTTTTACAAAAGAAAT